CCACGTCACTACTAAGTCCGAAGATGTTTTTTATTTTTGGTTTAACTAAGGTATTAGATGATTTTTTTAATTTATAATAATTTAAAATTAGGGAATGTGTGGAAATTGTGAATTATTTTAAATATTGTATGCTGACTTGGCAGTGACATGGCGCGTTGACTAACGGTCAAAAGTCGGATCTGGCCAAATTGTTTATTTTGGTGTATAGTTCGGGCCAGGATGTTATAGATCGAAAAAATTGGCTAGGATAGTTTTTTTTTGTCAAAGTTCAGGCCATAAAAAATATTAACTCTTATAATTTCATACCGTGTTCTGTGGCTCTGGGTTTTATTAAGGTTTGAAATCTTCATCAGAATCTTTAAAAAGTAGCTACGCGATTCGATTCTATGCACCGGTGTGCTACGTACATGACCGGATTATAACGCGGATATTATGTAAAGGCCTTGTGTGTCTTTCTAAAATTTTGGTGGAAAGACCTTGGCCATCTTAATACGACATTGATACAATTATAATAGTTTATAATATGATGGTCACTATGTAGTAAGGTTAGTAAATATGATGGCTATTCGATAATATAAAAAAAAAATAATTTTTGTCAGGTGAAAATATGGTGCGGATCATTCGGGTGACTGTAATATCCTCACCCACACAACTAAGTGTGTTTAGGAGATTTATAAATCCGCATTTCACCACCTACATCAACCACCAACCCACTTTGATTTGAGTTATTTACAAGTAAATCAATGTCAAACCAGAAATTAACCAACCATGTGCTTATAAGGTTCTCCATAAGGAGACTCCAGTCATCATAATCACCATCAAACTTTAGCAATCCCACCACCAGAGCAAGTCCTCCAGATATCCTCATCCTCGCTAAGTATCCTTACCCTCTCGTGTTTCCCTTTTCCCACACTCTTACTCATTGATCGTTATTTTCTCATAGGCTCTGATACCACAATGTAATTTGTATTGCCTCGCAAACTTGATGATTTTATTGAAGAAGCAAAAACAAACTTAAATACATCAGGCTCTAACCAATGACTACTACAAACAAGCTACTATTCTCCCTATTGCTCAGCCTAGCTATAAAGCAGTTAACAAGGAGCTGCTATGACAGTCCCACTTCCCAAATTTCAGGACGATCTGACGGTTCAATCTTCTAGAAGGCTCACTTGAACAGGCTGCCCTGCTGCAGAAACAAAAAACTGCAGCTCTTCTCTCTTTTCTCTTTTTTCTTATCTCTTCTTTTTTCTTGATTCTCTCTCTAAAAATGAAAGGCTGTCACCTATTTTTACTTTTGACTAGACAATAACTTTCTATTTTGAAAATAGAGGATCTTCTAGAAACCAACCAAAACTCAAACTCAAACTGGTTAATCCAACCACCATATGAGTTGGACCAACCCAACATATATGTATTGTTTGTAAAGAAAATTCAAAAGAACAATTTATTGTGAACAATATATGCATTGTGAACAATACATGCCACCATATTTGACTTATTATGGCCGACAGTGAGCAGTAGCGCTTTTTCAGAACCCAATTTATTGGATTACCAGTGGACCATGCTTTGTCTTATCAGGCATAGAACTAAGTATACTTATTATTTGTGGCATTCACTGTAGTTGGTTGAAATTGAGTATTTAATCAGGTAGCCAAAGTCGAGTAATGATGGCATTTATTGAGTGTCTTTATAGACTAATTTATTTATACAAATGTGTATTGCTATGTGACTATTTTTTTTTTCTATTAAAATTATCTACACATTCTCTAACATTTTCCTAAAGTAGCACAATTTAAGGATCATGGGTTGCGCTCCTAATTTATAGCAGAAAATACAAACAAGGAGGAAATTGAAAACATTCGCGACTTAATAGATAGAGAAAGACAATGGGTGGTTTTTTTCCACCAGGATAAGCATAAATATGGTGGATGAGAGTAAGAATGAAAAATAATTAACGACAATACTAGCTCTTCGTAGGGTTCACATTAGCGAACTAATTATTTGTCAATCACCAAAGATTGACTAGAATTCTATAGAATTCAGCCTTTTTGCATGTGTTGTGAACTCAACTGGATTAAGATTTTAGGACTATATTGTAAGAGGTAAATCGATGAGATTATTGAAGCCGCCAAAGATGTACACATTGTTTGGACTGATACAATAATTTTTTGTATCATAATCCTAGCTAGAATTTTGCATACGATATGCTTTTGGTAGAGGGGAACAAAGGGTTGACGATAGATGGCGAGTAAAAACTTGGATGAGAAATAGTAAAAACGTGGATGGAATACTAGGATGTCATTTGGAAAACTTTGGGGTTGAGGTGAGAGGGACAGAAGTGTACTTTTTTCTTTTATAAATAACATTTAAAATACACAACGAATTTAGAATATTTGATGTATAAAATAGGTAAAAAATCATTTGAATGAGCTATTAAACTTTGTCATTTCATTTTTAATATGAGGTGTTGTACTATTTTATCTAAAATTTGGTAGTATACTTAATAAATTTTTTTGAAATAAAATTTTGAAAGCTTTATTTACATCTTAAATGTGCAATGCTCAGAAAGTACACGCTCTAATGCTCTTGCTATCTCCCATTACATGTGGTGATAACTTAAAATAATTCGGTCAATGGACCGAGGCATATGTACGTATAAAAGTATTAGGGAGTGGCTCCCTCGTAATTGCGAACGATTTATAATTATCATTGACTAGCAAAACAGGTCTTTCCATATACATTTATGAAGGCAAGGGAACAGTTAAGGGACAGCGACCCTTAATATTCGTTTGGGTGATCACTTGCAGTTGACTTCTCAGATGTAAGTAGTTGTGTAATATCCTTGTAGAAGAGTTATATTTTTCGTCTAATTCCTTGCAAGTAAGATGATATTAATCGAGGGGGAAAAAGTGCGTTCATATTAGCGACGACATTTGGTCGTCATTAGCACCCTTTCGCGGCCATATGAAATGGTGCTAGAACTTATACGAGTGGGAGTGGTAATCAATGGTCGCCAAATGTCATTCCCAGCTTTTCAATTGGCGAGAATAATACTGTGGCCAAAACATTGCTAGCGAAGCACTTTCTGCGACCATTTATCGCTCTTAATAACGATTTGATCTCGTATAAAAATTAAAAAGTAATAAAAGTTGTTGAGGATTCCCCTCTCGATGTTATCGAAATATATTTTTTTTTTTTGATAATGTGTTATCGAAATATTTTTAATTTCTTAAAATAAGACTGAAGAGACTCGTCAACAACAACCTGTCAGGTTGAACATATATAATTATGCTACACAGGTGAGTTATTTAAATAAATAAAAAACTACGCTTGCTTTTATATATACTTCCTTAGAAGATGATGTTATTGTAAGAAAAATATTATCTAAATCTTATCTTCTAAGTTAGTGGCGAAGTCAGAAATTTGAACGGGGGCTAATAAATATACATTTGAGTGGTTTGAACCATAGTTATTGGAGAGGGGGGAGCTAGTGGCTTACCAACTAGTACTTTTAGAATTTGTTATACATATTTCATATAAATTTACCTATTTTTGAAAATTAAGGGGGGATATAGCCCACCCTGAGCTCAACGTGGCTCCGCCACTGTTCTATTATAATAGAAGAGTATGTGATATTTCTAGATTTGCCCATGTATAATAGAAGTCATCATATAAATCCTATAATCCACACCATGTGTAAACGATAATTCCTATAAATCCACACGATGTGTAAACTATAATTGTTGATAACTTTCAAAATTATGTACTAGTTTGGTCCGGTTATAATTTATGCCAAAATTGTTTCTGGTTGTAGCGCTTAGAGAGGCGTTAAACAAATAATTAAACATTTGACTGGTAAATTATTGGAATTAATTCAATGAAAAATAAGTTATTAAAAATATGTTTTTATATAAAAGCTAATACGTTGTCAAAAAAAAAAAAATATAAAAGCTAATACAAAGTGACTAAAAAGAATTTATTACATGAATAAATAAAATAATTGCACAAAAAAAAGTCAAAATTATCTTATTGGATTGATTTTATAATAATAATATCTCCAGTTTAATGTAATTTTAGAATGACATAAATTAATATTTTTAGTTTTTACAAAACATCTTGCGGAGAAGCTCAAAGGAATGTATAAATTAAACACGTTTGAATTTTTTTTTCAATAATTTGGCTTATAGAGGAGTTTGATTGATTTCGTATATCAGATGTAACAATTTTGATTATTGAGGGGCTTCAACTACTGGAACTGGACAACACAAAGCTGGGATTAAAGGTGCATGGTAATTGGATAATATAAATGTTTTGTTGGATTTTATTGATAGGTCCATGGATCAATATGAATTTGTGGATTGGATTATGGGTCCAAATGATATTTAAATATTAGACCGATATGCAAATTTATAAAAAAATTAGGTACGAAACTGTTATATCCAAAATGTAATTTACATTGACTTTATTTGTTCAAAAAATAAATTTAAATACCAATTTATAAAATATAGATATCAAACTATGATTTGCAAACAATCCATGAATCCAATCGATGAATCTAAAAATTCAATTGAAATTGAATCAAATAGAATGAATTAATTGAATATTTAAGTAAATCGATTGAATGTGATGAATGAATTAGATACAAAATTGTCACTAGAATCAATCACTCTCTCACCCGCCTTCAAAAGATCTATGTTCGAGCCTCGAGGGCCGGTTTAGCTAATTAAGGCTCCACCTTTAAGTAACAAACTGATCATCCATTTATTATTTGTCCAAACTCACAAAAGAGTGAAATCAAGGGCCCTTGATGGCATCAAATCAAACAACCATAGTAAGTGAAAAGGGGGGGGGGGGGGGGGGGGGGGGGGGGGGGGGGGGAAGACAATGCCGAACTAATTCAATCAAGGGCCAATCCAAAGGTTTTTCTATCTGAAGACAGACTTTTACCCTTTAAGAACAGGAAGCGACAAGTAGTTAATACAAGCCAAGTACAATCACTACCAGCGATAAGCGAATGCGACTCGGATGTCTCCCATAGGCGAGTACACCAGATCCAAGTTCGTATCCGCAGCGAATTCCACGCCCGGCTTGTACGGCATCGGCACTCTCTCCGATTTACCGCTTCTCTCGTTCTGCACTTCCTTGTACTGGTAAATCCCGTCGTAATAGACCAGCACCACATTGAGCACATTCGCCAGGTTCTTCTGGCCGCGGGCCTTGACGTACCGCCAGTTCTGCGTGTCGAACAGCCCGTCCTCGCACCACACTCGCACCGTCGGCGGCGCAGGCAATCCGGCGACGTCTTGGTCCACCAGAGTAAATCCGTCAAAGGGCACGTCGTGGCCGCCGCCGCCATACCCGAACGACGGTGCACGGCGGAATGCACCCGCCGGCCGCGCCCTCAAGACGCGGAACGTAGACGGGTCAACGTCCTGGCCTCTCGTTCGTGCTCCCTCGGCTGCCCGGGGCCCACTGAGAATAGTGGGCCCGAACCTGAAGTCTGACTGCCACTGACGGCACCGTTCCAGCTCTCCGGTGGCGAATCGGGCCTCCGCCCGGATCGAGTCGATTTGGGCTTTCAGTTCGGTGTACTCCTCGTCCTTCTGGTCCAGCTCCTTCCGGTAGTCGACCAGGGTCCCGCCGTGTTGCATGTCGGACCGCCGGCTCCATATGTTATCTGCGGTGGGGCCCTGCGGCCAACGCGGAGTGACGCCGTGACGACGGGACCAATTGAAGATGTCGTTCAGCCTGTAGTACTCCACCCCGAACGACGGATCTACGGACAGCGATGACGTTACGTCCAGATAGCTGTTGCCCTGTGGATTCACCATCAGACGGGACCGGCTGAGATCGGCCGCTAAGTTGTTCAGCCGTTGACCGTAGATGTTTTGACCGAACAGTCTCAGGCTGGTAATTGCGGTCGATACCTTCTTCCAGTCCGATCCTTTGACGGCCGACTCGTCCTTGGCCATCAGCTCGTATACCTCGACAGCGATTCCGTCCGACGACGAAACGAAATGGGTTGCGGAATTCAACTCGAATGGTGCCATCGCGCTACAGTTTTTGTTTATTAATTGCTTTTGAATGGTATATTGCGTTTCTTGCTTCTTTTTTCTTCTCTTACTATTATTTATAGCAAACTGGTCTGAGTAGGGATGACAACAAAACCCGAATCAATGGGTACTCATCCGACCCAATCCGGTCAACGTGGATAAAACCCGTGTTGACGGGTTTTGGACCGGGTTCGGGTTTAAACTCGCTACACTATTCGCTGGGTCGGGTTGGGTTTGGGTAAACCCGCCCCATGGGTACCCGCCCACATACATATAATTACTTTCCCAGTATATTTAATATTCTAAATAATATATCTTCCTTAAACAACTAATATTAATATTCTAGATGTTTGTGGAAACATGTATAATTTGTTCTTTCTAATTGTTTAGAATGAAGTTGATATTATGAAGTGGAGAGTGAAGAAACTTAGTTGACGAGGAAGAAGCTTTCAATTAATCTTATTGTTTATATATGTTTATCTTTAATTTTGAACAATTTGTATTGGTCATTTGAGGTTTGCTTGTATGCTTTAGATTAGTGTTTTTTGTATGATTAATTTGTATGAGAAAATTGATGTTAAACTTTTATTTTGAAAGAAACTTATTATTGTAAATTTTTACCACAAAAACCCACGGGTACCCATGAACCCGCAGATACCCAGCGGGTTGGGTTTGAGTTTTTCAAACCCAACGGGTTTTATCCCGGGTTTTTTTGGCGGATAAATCCATGGGTTTGGGTTTGACAAAACCCGCCCCAACCCGACCCATTGCCATCCCAGGGTCTGAGTTGTTTGCAGAGAAATAAAATAACTAAAATATAAATTACAATTTTAATTATCATAGGAAAAAATATCTTCCACCCAGCTACCGATCACCGATACAAAAAGATCTGGTGATTAATGGGTATCATTAATTAGTTGGTTAAACCATTCTCAGTCTTTATTTTTTCTAATTGATGTTGAAGGAAAAGCTACCACCATCAATGGAGACAAAGTTGCTGACGATGAAAAAGCGAGGTTGATGATGGTAGTGACGAAGGAGATAGAGTGAAGGCCGTCAAACCGGTTTATACCATATGTTGATTTAACAAGTGATATGGTCTGACCGTTAGTACAATCGATTTATATTAGTTTTAACAAAATATGTAGGGAAGTGGAAATCATTAATACTAAATGGCTTTAGGAATGTATATACCTCCATATTTAAAAACAAATTTTCTAAAATCTACTTCCATATTTGTATAAAATACAATATTCATAACATGTAGGGGCAGCTGGAGAAGCCTTCAAGGAAGCGCCACCGTTGAATCTCACAATCAACCTCCTTCTCCTTGTCGACGAGCTTCAACATGAAGGGGTCGTTGGAGGGGATGAGTTAGGATGGTTACTAATTTTTTAGTTGTCATCGTGACTACCTGCATCTTTACACTTCATTCTCAGTATTTTTACATTGACCGTCATGATTATATAAAGATAATTTTGAAAATAATAATAATAATCATACCAAATTATTCTCCTTAAAATATAACTTTCTATATATTATCACAAACACTGAATAATTATTTCCAACGCTAACCATCCAGCCTCACTCCTTCCCTCTCTGACATAACTTCTCACCGTCGATGGTCCTCCCTCCTCCCACTCTCAGCCTCCCTCTCTCACCTTCCACTATCTCTCCCCCCCACTCCCTCCCCACCGCCTTCCTCCTCCACTTCCCTCCCTGCTCCCACCCCACCGCCATTCTCCACAACCCATCGCCACCTCTCTCTCCCTCCCAATCCAACCCTACCCCACCACGTTTGCCGCCCTTCTCCCCTCCTTCCCTCCCTCCTAGGATAGTACCGGACATCGAAGGTCCTCAAAGCAATCGACGATGCTGGCCATGTCTTTATCCCCGACCCTCTCGTCTTAATGGTATTGTTTTTGTCGCATTGGTATTGATTTTATTACATTGGTGCGGTTTAGTTTCTGAACTCAAACCGCACCCTCAGTTTGCGGTTTATATGTAAACCGCACCTTGGCCGTGCGGTTTTTAAAAAAAAAATGTGCTACTTTTGGAATTTGTGTGGCATGTGTGCTATTTTTGTAATTTTTTTTAATTGTGTTATTTCTGGAAAAATCCCTTATAACTTGTCCGATATGATTTTATAATGTATGCCAAGTACATGAATTTTTATTGGGAAAATTTATTTAATTACACTCATAATGGTTAACTACTTATTTATAACTACCCACAAACTTATTAATTCATTTATTAGCCAACTAAAAAAAGGAAATGCAAAACAAGAGACACACATGGGGCATGACAAAATAAAAGCAACAATAGTAGCTTTTCCTCCAAAGATGGAGTATAGCCTCCTACGGTTGATGTTCTTTTTGTTTCTCCCTTCCCCTCCATCATTCCTTCCTAAAAGAACAGATGAAAGTGCTTCGAATTTTGTATTTCCATTCACCTTTTTCCTTTCTCTCCCTTTTCCCTCCCTCTAGAACAGAGGGTAGGGTCAAAGAAGGTATTTTCAGCTTTTAATTAAAATCGGATCGGATCCAATCGGTTACAGTTAAAACCATTTTCAATTCAATTCAGTTTCTAGTTGCAGAGTTATCACAATTCTCATTTAAAAAATCGGGTAAAACATGGCCAATTAAAATGGGCCAGACCTTTTTCAACCCCTATTCTTAACCATCCTTGTGCACTGTGGTTTAGATTTTAGAAGCACCTTCCATGACCATTTTGTCGCTCTCAATAAAATTTTGATGAGGATTCCCCTCTCAAAGTTATCGAAATATTCTTTAATTTCTTAAAATAAGACTGAAGCGACTAGTCAACCCACAGTCAGTCACGTTGTATGTATATAACTATGCTTGCTTTTAGGGCAAATTGCAAGGTTTGTCACTGAGATTATTAAAAAGGTTCACGTTTGATCATTGAAAATATTTAATTTCGTTTGTAATTACTAAAAATAATTAAATAATTCAAGTTTGGTCACTCTCCATCAACTTTCATTAGTCTCCGTAACGAAGTGAACCGCTCAACCCTCCACGTCATTAGAACTTGCCACATGATCATTAAAACCGCAAAGCAACAAAAATACAATTAAATTAAAACAAAAAACAAGAAATTAAATAGTGTTTCTGAATCTCTTCTTTCTCCATCGTCATCTTCATCCCATTATTTCTTCTTTCCTCCAGCACAGGCGATTGAAGGGGGGACTTGGATCCAACTAAACCATTCTTCAAGAAGGCATAGAGGAGACTTAAATACAGGAGCCTTTAGTCAATAGGTCCCGCTTTGATCCAGCTAAACCTTAACTCCACTTGCTCCTAAAATTTCGACTCATGACTAACAATCTATAGAGCCTGGTTTTGCTCAGTGGCTGACTAGCAATGGCTTGCACGTTCTGTAGGCTGAACAACAGTGGACTCTAACAGACTCAAACATAAAAACTTAGGTACTAGCTAGAACACCATAAACGATATAGATCCACTTAAGCCAACTTCCAGCAGCAATATAATGTCTCGATATAGATCCACTTAAGCCAACTTCCAGCAGCATCTTGTTGCTATGCTTGAGGATTTGGGGCTGCTTGATTGTCAGCCATCGTAGAAGTGGAAGGCGGCGGCTAGGGTTCAAATTGAGGCTCTGATACCATATTGACGAAATGGAGAGTAAATTGAAACTCTAAACTTGTGATTCTCATTGCAAGTTCTGCCTCTTAATTATAGGCTTGACAATACAGAAGAAGACAAGCTCCATTACATGTTTGTTTGGTAGCTTGAAAAGGAAACTAAACAAGCTTGGGAGAAAAGAAAAGATGTGACAGTAAAGGAAAACAAGAACGACAGCGTCTTGAGTGAAAAGAGAGCTAGGGTTAAAACGCCATCGTCTCGTCAAGTGGAACTTGGTAGTGGCAAAACGTCGTCGTTGAGCAAGTGTGTCGTTGGAAAAGAAGATTGAAGATTTCAATCTGTTATCAAACTTGAGACTTGGCACCAATCACTCTTCTAGCAGCAATATATGTCATAAACCAGTTGGTCCCAATAACTCGAGTTGTTGGGAGAGGGTTATGCTGGATCTTATAACACTCTCTAACGAAAGCCAACTCACTGGCTTGAAGTTTGCACAGGTCCACCATACCATGTGCTTGAAGACAACGGTTAATATTGGGGGTCGTGGAGATTCGAACACACGACCACTTGGTCAAACCAGCTCTGATACCATGTCATAAACCAGTTGGTCCCAATAACTCGAGTTGTTGCGAGAGGGTTATGCTGGATCTTATAACACTCTCTAACAATATAATGTCTCGAGCCTTCTTTTCCGATCCAACACTATTCCCGGTATGCAACAGCCAATTTGGTACCAAGACCGAAATCAACAAAGAAGAAAAGTTGTTGTGAGAAAAGGGTATGGTCTCGGGTAAAGGGCAAGGCAACTGGCCTTCCCTTATAATCTTGAACGTCTGATGGATTATCTTCGTGGTAATACGCAAGCATTGTCAAGCCACCATCGGGATGGGTTGTTTTCAGTGACCACCAATTATATTTGTTGAAGAGGTAGTAAACTGGCCATACGTGTATCGGTTTGGGAAGAGGCCAGCTGGCAGTCTCCTCGTCCACCACCAGAACCTCTTGATACCGAACTCCCTCTGACCTGAGATCAAGGTCTTTAAGAATGTGAGGGAAGCGTACGCCTATAGCCGGTTCACTAGTTTCAAAAGTTGGTGATGGCACCCGACATCTCTTACTTAGATATCGTATCCTTTCCACTGACGCAGAGTCTCTCGATCTAAGCAGCTTATGCGAAGGCAAAAGCGCCCAAGAATTCCCACCGCATCGCTCCAGTTCCCCCCTAATTCGCGCCAGCTCAACATCCTTGGCAGATAGTTGGATCCTCAAGCCACTCAATTCCACATCCTTCTCCTGTCTTAGTTTCTCAAGTTCCCTGTCCTTGTTCGTCCTCAGAGTTTGATACTCCTCATCCTTCTTCTTTAGCTTTTGTCTCAACTCCTCATCGTTGTGCTTTCTTAAGGCTTGTATCTCATCATCCTTCTCCTTCCTCAGCTTTTGCAGTGCCTCCTCATTCTCCTTCCTCAGCCTTTTCAGATCCTCATCGTTGTGCTTTCTTAAGGCTTGTATCTCATCATCCTTCTCCTTCCTCAGCTTTTGCAGTGCCTCCTCATTCTCCTTCCTCAGCCTTTTCAGATCCTCATCCTTTTGTCTCAACTCCTCATCCTTGTGCTTTCTTAAGGCTTGTATCTCATCATCCTTCTCCTTCCTCAGCTTTTGCAGTGCCTCCTCATTCTCCTTCCTCAGCCTTTTCAGATCCTCATCCTTTTGCGCCAACTTTTGACGTAACTCTTCCTCAACCGTCAAATACGTCGGTGTAGAAGAATCCGGGGCTGTCGATGGTGATGATGATGAGTCCCATTGAGTGATGACGAGGACATCACGCTCATCCTTGTCGGGTTGATTATGAAAGTTGGTGAATAAGCAATCGCTATATGGTTCATAGGGTTCCTCGTTGAACAAGCAGACGTAGTGCCCAAGATGGACGTGCAACAACCTCACAACAACATTATTAATGACGACTCCCGTTGTAGCCGTACCAATACGACCATAGTAGGGCTGCGCAACGTCATCATATGCGACGGGCTTGAACAAGGTGCAATCCCATTTCAATCGATCCTCCTCCACATCCACAGCCCCAGCGTGAAGCCACACGTTGTCCTCGGCCCACTTCTTCACGTACTTGTTGTTGTAGCAACACTTCAAGTGCACCCACCCGGCGGATTCTGTTCCCAAATTGCCGGCGGCCACCACCTCGAATTTCGATTCCAGGCTCGTGGCGTCGTCGCCGGAGAATTGGAGGTACTCCCGTTGCTCCCCATTTGTCAGTTGTATATGTCGGTGCCGCAGGTACTTTTGGTTGTACCTACATACATGTACGTTTTGTTTTGTAAACAGACAAATAGTAGCTAGGAGATAAATATTGTAATTTTAACCCTAACTTCACGAATTGGAACTCTTAAGCGCGCGAGAGCATCACAGAAATCTTGGTCATATATATACCGCAAGTTAAGTGAATAAATGGTGCCATGTACAACAAACTAGTCTTTCGCGACCAAAGTCATCCCGTTGCTAAGATACAATAAATGGTCACGAAATGTAAGCTGACTAACTTATCTTAGAAACCGGAATAAGTTTTCGAAGAAAATGTAACCACTACTATATTTGGTTTCAGAGATCTTGTATCCCAACCTGCTAAACTTATATTTAGTAGGCCAATTTCCGTGATGGAACACAATTTTACGAAATTTATGGTCATGAAATCCGCAACCAATCAAATTATTTTAGGCGACCAGTACTATTCTAGTTACTAGATGGGTAAATGCAAGGTTTACAATAGACTCACAAAAGGAAACTAATCGATGCGCGTACCTTGACTGGATGGCCACGAACCTTGGCAGTACTGTCATCTCTCTCTCACTCTCTCTCAACGATGCTACTTGTATCTCCGTATTTGGCAACTGGTTTATTTCTAATGATATATGATATGAAACCACGTACAGGATGTGGTGTAGCAATTGATCGGGATCCAAATATATAAGCTCTGGACTGTACACAGTCGACCTCTCTGGGGGAAGAAATGTGAATTATTGACTTAATTTGTTGATGTAATGTTAAAAATATGATCAATAATGCTACGGTGCATGTTCCATGGAAAAAGGGGAGGAACATTAACAAATGTATTTATAGTTGACGTTGACAAATTGTGGTTCGTACATGCACAATCATGTCTGTTATGGTGGTTTATGGGCCAACTCTAAAACTAGTAGTAAGATATCAAATTTTAAACTTTGAACGATGACATTAATTTAATACGATGATATAATATATAATCTCAACTAATTAATATATTACCCAAATTGTAAATCTTCAATTTTGAATCTTAATCCTAAACCCCAAATTGTAAACCTATTACTTAATCCCAAATCACAAAACCTAAATCATTTATATTAAAGTTAATCTTGAGCAATTATTGTACACATTCATGTGTTTTCTTATTCATCATATCACAAGTGATGATTGAAAAATTTTCCACATAAATCGCTTGCTCGGAATCACAATTATGAAGTGGTGGCATAGTATGCAGCCATAAAAGTGAGACAAAAATGACTTCTATATGGTTGTAACTAATGTCAATCTGCATAAGATTGAGAACCCTTCTGATGATAAGAACGACAATGAAGAGCTAACTAGCCACGATACGTTTGACTTGATCAAACAACAATTTGAACATCATTCTACACAAATAGCTAGATTCCGATGAGTTTTTCAAATCGAACCTATACAGAGTGTAAAGATTGAAAAATGGCAAATTAGCCTAGCTAGTCCAAGTCTTGTATACCTTTTTTATCACTACCTGAGGGATGGGATTAGGTGCTAACCCTTATAGGGGGTTAGCACCGTGATAACTAGCAAAAAACGCTACTAAAAACAACGAAATCACTACGGATTATTATAAAATCAATACAACATCTAAACTAAATCACTACTAACCCTTAGTTAGAACGGTGCTAACTCTTGTACAATTAGCACCGTAACTCCTCCCCTAGACTGAACCTATGGATCAATGATTTATCTTTTTCCTTTCTGTTTTTAAGAAACCTTTTTCCTATCAAGTACCGATCCCGCATTCTCCGTCAACTCACCACGTTGTTATTTGAGTAATCCTGGGTTCTTGGCTCAAGGCTCGATTATAGATGCAAGGAAGCTAGCTACAGTGATTTGAAGACATCTACCCATTTTTTTTAAGGGTGATATATGTTTATTTTTTGTAATTAGATATCATTTAAAAGATTTACATCTAAGACCTTTAAATTACCACTAACTAAGTCTTTATACGTAAATTTTTTTTATCACTTCTCCGTTGAATTCCTTCGACTTGCAAATTTGGGTATATTTGAAGAATTTGGAATATGGATTTGAATCCTAATGAATTTGAATATTCAACTCTCACGATTGTACTAATTACTAAATAAACTCAAATAAGTTCTTTTTTGGTACAAGTACTTTTTATTGTTTGGTACAGTACTTCTTAAAAAAATCAGCATATAGAACCTCTCATCTTAACATAAATTTTGTATCCCAAAATTTTTGAATCTAAAACTGCGGTTCTCAAATACTACATTCAAAAAGAGAAAATGATTACTTCTGAATCTATGAATTGTCTCCAAGGATGATTTGAATATTACTATTTGAGGGTAAATTTTTGGTAAACCCCAAAAAATTTGGGTGCATAAATCTTCTTCTCCCCTACAAATTATTATATTGGTTGGCATGTCCCTTTCATCATCTCGATACACTAGCATAGGATGTTTCTCTGAAAATTGACGTTGACAATGAGGGTAAATTAAATATTAAGTAGCTGTTTTTACGGGTCTTAAAATATAGAGTTATTCGTCAATACGTAGAATAATTGAGGGTCCATCTCATGATGAGAACGAATGCTTAGCTAAATAGCTGCTCTAATGAACTTAAAACTAGAAACGAAAATTCGTATATGATACCAAAAAATTATGAAAAATTATGTGAATTTTACAAAATAAATTATTGTTCGTGGTAATACCACCCAATTATGAAAATTCGTATAACGTTAGTTAATATATTACACTATATTATTTTAGAAATAATATTATACTGATATGTTATCAATTGATTTATTAGTGATTGAATCACTAAATAACATACCATTACCTTGTCCACTACATTTACGATTTTACAAATCCAAATCACCTAACATGCTGAGGTAAGGAACATAGGAATTCAATACGTGTTTTATGGGTTGAAATGTCCCTTCAATATATCGATATTCTAAAGGCAGTTAGAGCACATATATAGGCAGCTGTTTTTGCGGGTCTTAAAATATATGTATAGATCTATTGTCATAAAATACATTTAATATTTCAGACTCCACCTGCCTGCTGATGAAAACTAGCTAGAGGGCACATGTTACGGTGATTACTAGTAATCACTGTGATTATTAAGGGCAAATTAGGTATGAAAGAAAATTATTTATTATCTTTTTTAAGAAATTACATTTAAGAAATTTACAAAAATATATTAATTACAATTTTCATTCTCTTTCTCTCACTTCCACATATAATATTTCAGATCTCTTTTCCTTCCTTTTCTCAATCTTTTCTTTGTTTTCGTTCAGCCGAACTAATAACGCTACAACAATAAAACAATACCAATTCATTACAAAAATACTACCAGAGCACAAAGCACCAATACCATTAGAGAAATAAAAACACTACCATTGCATATTTAATCAATATCAATACATTCAAATCAATACCATTACATGATAATCAATACCGATGCAAAAAAAAAAAAAACAATACCAATGCGAAAAATACTACCACTACAGAAAAAACACTACCATTTCACAAAAAAGCAATACGCTTACATGATAGTCAATACCAATGAGGAAAGAACAATACCGACGCGAAAAAACACTACCACTACGAAAAAAATCACTACCAATGCAAAAAAAATCAGATCTAGGGTTTTTATTCATCCCACCTTTTCCAGCCACAACCGTCCACCACAACCGTCTCCCAAAGAGAGAGAGAGAGAGAGAGGGCAGCGGGAGGGTGCCCGCAGCAGTGTGCGAGAGTAGCCGGAGTGGAGGGTGGCTGCCGGCAGTGGGAGGTTGGCCGAGGGTGGCTTGGCTTTGGGAGGGTGGCCATTAGCGGAGGAAGGGAACCACCAACAAGAGAGGTATTAACGGCTATAGAGAATGAGGTTGGAGTAGGGTTTAGGTATATAATATATAGAAATTAATTTTTTAAAGGATAAAAATCAGGTATGGTATTTTTTTATTCTCAAAATTACCCCTTAATCTAATCTTCACCGTCAAATTAAAATTAGGGTGAACTAGAGATAATGAAGGGTATATATTTTAGTAGTCATCGTTCCAGCTAGAGGAGCTAATTAGATATTAATGTATATAATTATCTTAAATAACAAAGTAAACTATTATATATAAACCTAAAGTGAAGTTACTGTTTCCTAAAATTTCATAACAGCCAACTACTTATTGGGCCACAAATCCCTAATTATTGGGTCATTGCTAAATCAAACTTTGTGGTCCGTAAATGAGCATTTATTGGGCTTCATTTTGTATTTGTAGGCTTTCAGTAACAACCATTTCACTATGAGAGGTAAACACACTGGGCCTAATTATTGGGCTCATGATTTCTGTCCTTTGAGGGGTGGGATTTCCATTTTCTGGCAAATAGTTTGGTAGAACTTGTATGACTATGTAGAAGCATCCGGTCCCAACTTTATTTTCTCCCTAACCATCCTGCGCAGGTGATGTCCAAGACATAGATTGGTGGTGCAATAAGCAATAGGAAGATAAAGTAGAGGGGAAATCAGTGATTTGTAATGATTGTTGAAAAATTGTATCGTATTGACGGTTCGATGAGAATTTTTTTTACTTGAAGCAAAATCGGTTGGTAGTATTTATCGGTATGATATGGATGTACAACGGTTAAACCACGCTTTGAGCACAAAATATCTACCGTTTACTTTTCCGGTACAGTTTTTTAATCCTTGATGGTTTGTTTTGCTGGTGGTTCAATTTGGTCGAGAGAGGATCATCACTTAAATAAAATAGTGGGAGTGCGAGTGAGGTGAGTGACGAACAACCAAAACGAGACAATAGGTGAACATTCCGCGGCAAAGTGCGGTTACAAATCTAGTGTTTATATAAAGACCACAAGGTAGCAATTAAGATGAACAGCCTGCAAGGGGTTAGGAACAATAATGAGTTTATCCGTTGGTATTTTGATCCAAATACTGTGAAACATATGGGATTGGATTGAATACAAATCAGTCTATTTGGTAATGAGTTGGGTCCAGATTGAGTGTGATATGGGTCAATTCATCTGGGTCAATCCAAGCGAGTCTATTTGGTAAGGGGTCTATCCGGTGGATCTGAAAGTTGTTGTTAGTAAGTGATATATGATTTATAATTGAATCTCTCAATAATTCGAATTATTGAGATCAATTAGTTCTTGACATGGTATTAGATCATTTTGTGATCGAAAGGTTTTTTTTTTCATTCCACAACCTCATTTGATAAGCATATGATATTTAAATTTGTGCTAACTTTAAACCTTGTGAGTGGTTCTTGACAATTGAACAAACCAACTGCCAATTTCCAAGCAAAACCAAAGAGCAAATCTAGAATTTGGCAACTCAAGAAAAAAAAATTCAATCCACAAATCACACATTTTCATGTATTATATATGCAATCAATTAAGTTAATAGCTATTTGCCGCCAATTTAATTACTAAATACGGTAAAGTATTTGTTCATGGTAATATAATCCTTGACCGTCATAAAAAATCAAAACAATACTTTGTAAGCACTCCTTGTTAGAAATCTAAACAACGACCATATA